CCATGCTGCTCACACATCACTGGCTGAGCTGAGGTTCCTGGTCCAAATTACTGGAAACTTGAGCCTCTTTTCAGATCTCAGGGGATTTGTGTCTTCCCTACAGGTGGGTTTATATTTCCAAGTAGAGACTTGGCATGCATTAGTGTAAAACAGTAGGAAAAAGATGGAAATGGTCATAATAACAACATAAGGAAATGGAACTGAGAAATGACTACTTGGAGATTCTAAAGAAAGCAGAATGCTATTTGAGGGCCTAACCTTCTGCAACTCTCAGTGGCCCAGTCAAATGCTATTGCCTTTTAATTTGAGTCTTTGGAGAAAAATAACTCCATTTAACATGTTCCCAAAACCTGAAGTCTGCCAGAATTAGGAGTTAAAGTACTGTTTCTTTGTAGCAGTTTTTGAACTCTTTATGCCAACATGCCAACTCTTCTGGGTTATTGCTGTTAAAAATCTGAGTTTTCCATATTAATTGAAAACTTTCAGGTTGGAAGGCCACGTTCAGGTTAGCATGGCTCCACTTTTGCGTAACCTAAGGAGTGCAAACTAGAGCAGCTGAGTAGATGGCAACCTCTAGTGCCTTCCTCGCCTGTTGGTTCCTGCCCCCTTAATCTGACCCATCAACTCTTCCCTCCACAAGACGGAAGTCAAAGAAAGTACTAGACTTGCATGTAGGATTCACATAGCAAAGGTTCTAATGAAAAATGTACCCTGTTTTTCTAGTTTAGTTAAACTATTTCAAAGTAATGTGGTGCTTAGATGACTTCTAAATCATAAATACTACTCTGCCCAGCACATTCTTCTTGACAACTTTTTCAGACCCTCCAGGTCTGGACCCCAGTTGTGCTTCTGGGTCCTCTCTGCCACTGAAATCATCACACCATACTGAAATGAGCACATCTGTCATCCATCTTCTTCTACAAGAAACTTGGCTTGTGGAAGGATCTTGCTGTGTATTCATGAAAGATTTTTACCTCAATAAACAGTGAATGAATGAACAATGTGACTTTACAAAAATATATATTCAGAACTTAACTTTATTAGGTGACCAGCTGGACTCTGCTCCATGTGGCATGTTAGGGTGATGTGTCAGGCAATTGTAAGAGTTCTGCTATGAGGGAGCAGAGTTAATTTGATGAGCCTAATGAATAAAATAAAATTATTTCATCTGATGGGATTGGAACTGTACCTTAGGCTTCTGATTGCTGATTTGAGGATCTCTCTAATTCACTGCTATGCTGCTGTGCTTACATATGTGCAAAGTGCATTTCTATGTAAAACTGCCAATGTGCTTCTTTTCCGGATTATTTGACATGATATGAAAAGAGGCAAAAATGGAAGCATTTAATGTATTTAAAAAATTTATAATACTGTTCCTATTTTCATAATTACTATGCTTCAATATTTACTTGTCATTGGAATGAGACTAATTCAGCTAATTCTATGAGAACTTCATAGTAATGAAAGATAGGAGGTACAGAATCCCTGCTATATTTTTATTATTCTCACAAATAATGAAAGATGAGAATACCAGGAAAACATTTTTCTCATTTATTCCAATTCAGAAAGGGAGCTTTTATAAAAATGTGATATATCAAAGTTGTAATTATGAAGTCACACAATTATTTCTGTGTTATGAGGCTTATGTGTGGATGCACTTGACTTACCAACTCCTGTGATTCTGCATGTAAAATAGCTTTCTCAAACTACCCCCTTTCTATTTCTCCTGACACTACTTTTAAAATATAGATTGATTTTGGCCAGGGCATTGGTGCATGCTTATAATCTTGCACTTTGGGAAACTCAGGCAGGAGGATTGCAAGTTAGAATCTTGTCTAGGCAACATAGTGAGACCCCTTCTCAAAAATAAAAATGAAATAAAAAGGGATGGGGGTGAAACTCAGTGCAAAAGCCCTAGGTTCAATTCCCATTCCAAGCATTTATATATATATATATATATATATATATATATATATATCCCTAAAATATAATTTTTAGATTAAGAAAACAATGCTTATATATTGCAAAAATGAAAACAATACAGAAATACTGAAAAAGATCTCTTCACACTTTGCTATATTTTGCTGTGGTGCCTGAGTTCGTTTCATGGATCTATGACCGGGCAGTCTCATTGGGCCCTGTGCTTGGTTAATTGTGCCTCTATTTCCTTGGAATTTTAATAATTTTTAACACAAGGTCCTGCATTTTTATTTGGCACCCTACCCTATCTCAATCCCCTCTTGCTATGTATTTACTATTCTGTCTTAGATAGTTCCAGAAATTTTCTGTGCACATAAGCATGTTGGTATACATACATTAGCTTTTGCCTGGTGGGATTGGTCTATTCATAGCCTATCCTTACTTTGCCTCATCAATGTTGTAATTGATATTTTTCCATTAATCAGCTTCTGTCTTCTGAGCATCCATTTGCTTCTTCTCTTAGGCAGTCTCAAAATTGGTATGGTATGATCTTTCTAATTCTGGTTATGACAGTGTTTTACTAAAAGTGGGCAGTACTTCCCTGCTGTGTATAAAATAAATTAGCATCCTGATAAGACCCAGTAGGATCCTTGCCAGTGTACCAGCAAATGTGTTTCTGCGTACACTGGTCTGAAGCAGGCCTCTGGACTAGGGGAGGGATGATGTTAACCCTTACCTGCTGAAGGCACCTAATCTGAGCACAGGTCTTTGTTTCTAAACTTTGCAACAACAGGTAGGAAAAGTGACATTCCCTTCTCATCATTACTTTGCAGAGCTGCCAACACTCGGCTTGAAATTACTGAAGACAGAGCTCTGGACTTAGTGCTGATGTCCTCTCCAGACTCACACCTGGAAGTGTGGTTCCCAGGGTGAGAGGTGCAGTACGGGGACCTTTGGGAGGTAACGCTATTGGGGTAGAGTCGAAAGGCCTTCTTTTTCCATCACATGAGCACACAGCAAGGAGGCTTCTGCCAGAATCCAGGATGAGGGCCCTCGCCAGAACCTGACTGGGACAGAACCCTCAGCCCAGGCTCTTCAGCCCAGAACCATGGCAAATTAAAGCTATTCTTTAAGCATCTCAGTCAAAGACATTTTATTATAGCATCTCCATCTAAGACAGAGAAAACATTTAGCTCTCTGCAAAGTTGATTAATGTATAAAGAGATAGTATTTATTCATTGTGCTACAGATGAAAAAAAAAGATGAGCCTGAGAAACAATACTTGTCATGTCCAAAGCGATGGAATGTAGTGATAAATTTAACATCTACTGCTTTTCAGGTTAACAGACTATGACATCTTCTTGGAATTTTCTTGAATACTCTAAATTCTGAGGTCGGAATGGTATTCTGAGCTTAGAGCCATTTGGCTGGTATGGCACAACCGTTATTGTCATTACTCCTAGCACTGCATGTTTACAATATGGAGATTAGATGGGAAGGATTCTCCAAGTCAGTGGTAAAAAACGCCTGAGTCACAAACACTAACATTTTTATATAATCACCAGTGAATTACTCAATCTCTCTGAACTGCAAATTTGTTAAGTAGAAAACAGATATAATAATATATACCTCACAGGGTTGTGATTAAGAATAAACAAGGTTTTAATTTATACATTTACTCAACAAGTATCAACTGAGTGATTGATTGGTGGATTAAGCTCCCTCTCTAGCACTGAGCTACATTCTCAACCCTATCAATATTTATTAAGTGATAGTGATATATCAAAAGTTGTGCTCAGCAGAGAGTCAAATGCAGTAAGTAGATACAGTAAATCCCTGATTTATGAACAAGTTCCATTCTGGAAGAGCTGCAAAAGTCAGATTTGTTCATAATCTGGCAAAGTGAATCATATACAGTACACCTTTGAAAATTTATAACTCAAATCTTCATAAGTCAGGCACTATGTTCCATGCCCTCATGGGGCTTACAGTCTGGTGGGATTTAAGGTCTAAGAAAACTAGGTTCACAGTTCCTTGTACACAATCAATGCTCAGCTAATGTTGCCAGCAGCAAGAAATAGTTGTATTCTTCCCTTCCTTTTTAACAAGTAACTAATATTGTTGCTTTATCATTAAGTTTATTCTCAACCATGAAAACTGGGGCATATTTATTGAAATCATGAAGAAGACATCTGTCTTCTTGTCCTGCGCCTTAACTCTTACCATTCTTTAATTGCAAGTAGAAAATCGGGCATACATTTTATCCAATGCCTTTTCAAAAATGCATTAATAGAGCTTTGTACAAATCAGCATCTAAAATCAACCTTACTCATGTGTGCGAGATTACACACACTGTGTAGAAAGTGTCCACCCCATAAAAAGTATTTTGAAAATCTAGAAAGATTACTTACTTGATGTTAACCAAGCATCTCAGTCTATGGGCCCATTTTGCATGTCCAAGAGAGAGTTCTGCCGGACTCTACCTAGTCAGACCATGCCTAGCAAGAAGACATGCATGTCCAAGCAATCAGCTTAGAAGCTGCATTAAAGAGAAAATCAGCCTAGTTAGGTCCAGTGAGACCTGCCTCAGAAGGTGAAAAAAGGTCAGCGGGTTAGAGTGAAAAACAATGCCATGCACTTGATAAGCTCTAGGAGTCTCGCATGCAGGAACATTTGATTCCTTGTGCTGAGCTACAGATGTCCGTTTCAACAACAGTGCCTGCTGGAGCTGCAGTTGACAAGGCCAGCTGCTTTGAACTGCCAACTGTTGGTTGACGTGGCAAGCTCCTACCAAGCCATGCTGTGAAATAGCATGGAATTGGGTCAGCGCAGGACACAATATAATATCCCCCATCTGTCAAATACACTGATTTGGAGAAAAATGAACAATTTGAGAGAGAGTTATGAAAGCTCTTCTATCATAACATCTACATCTAATTCAAAAGGACACGTTGCATTCAGTTAGTTTTGCTCTGTGGAGTGAGAGGGCAGAAATCGATCTACTGCATACAACTGTCTGGCTTTTAGGGCTGCAGGTGGCAACAATTTAAACAGCACCCTGGACTGGATCCAGAGCCTACCTTTCTTCCCCTCAAGCACTGCTGGAGCTGAGGCTTCGTCAGGACAAGGTGTTGACAGTTCTGGGGCTGCCAAGTGATTTCTCTCCAATCGCAGGTCCTGTTGTCCGAACAACTCAGGCAAGGCACAATCCACTGACCTGGAAAGGATGGCAGAACCTCCTTTGGTGAAATTATAGTTTGCAAGTAACTTTAGAGTCCGGCATATGGCATGGACTTACAGTGAGACCATCTCTCTTAGACTTGTAGAAACACGAGGGACCAATGCATGGCCTTCTGGCAACCATGCAGAAGAGCAGCAAACCATGATGTCCTGAAATAACACAGCTCGCTCTGCAACCAAGTATGGGACTGGGTCCATAGAACAACATACTTATAAAAACCCTGAGTGATCAGGTACTACTCAATCATTTATTTTTAAACAGGAACTAGCACTTCAATAGGGCCAAAGTACTAGTAGTCAGTAGACCTCAAATGCTTATTAATGTAAGGTATGCTTAGGTTACCAATCGATAATAGATATATTCCCTGCTGGCAAAAGATTTAAACTATAAGATAACTGCTTCAGGATTCTGATAATGCATTATTTTATATTATTCCAGGCTGGTTATTATTCCTTAATTTTACTGATGGTCTTTTTGGTGTGAACTGCTTCAGCTCCTTTGAAGTCTTCATCTATGAGTTGTGTTTTGTGTTCTCACAGGATTAGTGAGAGGATTATGGAACAGTGTATTTAATGGTCCAGCATGATTGTATTTAGTGGTCTCAGCTTGGTGACTAGTAGAGTACAGTTACTCGATTTTGAGTTATAAAGGGAGAACTGTAACACTTTACCCATTCTGAGTCTGGTTTGTGGTGCAGACTGGCAAAATCTCTCATGTGATAGGAATTTCAGTGGGAATAATTTCTATTCTTAAGGCATGAGTATGATACATTTTACAATCAGGGATGTCTGAATTGTATGAGTGTTTGCATTCAGGGAAATAGTTACAAATTTTAAAATATAAAAGAGAAAATAGGTACTGGCTTTTACTGATTGACCACGAAAAGGGAAAAGTGTGGATATTAAGAGAGAGAAATGGGAAGAGAAAACAAAAGGGAAAGGAGATGAGAAAATTATGAATCCCAGGGAAAGGAAGAAATGTACAATATGTCAGGCATGGTGGTGCACACAAGAGGCTGAAGCAGGGGGATCACCGTGAGTTTGAGGCCAGCCTGGGCTACAAAAGCAAGTTCAAGGCCAGTCTGCAATGTATAGCAAGACCCTGTCTCAAAACAGACAAACAAAAAACAAACAAACAAAAATTCCAAAAAGAAAAAACAAAGAAATGTACAAGAGAATCACTTTGGGAGGTATAGTGTCAATTGGAGCAGAAGTATGGGACTAACACTCAAAGTCACACAGACATTTGTTCCTCTTGCCATGAAATCTTTGCTTTGACTTTAAATGTAGTGAGACTTCTGGAAAGCTGGCTTACTTAATACTTGATCAATAAATACTTTCGCACTGTGTCAGGAATGGCCCATGGCACTCCAAGGGAAGCCTGTTTTGATCTCTGAAAACTTGGCCCCAATGGTTCAAACTACTACATATTTATACAATGATAACTTTTTGCATTTCTGTATTGGTTAACAATAGTTTTCATTTATTATGAGTTACAAATACTGCTTGAAATAGTCATCTGTATAACATCTGCAGGATGGGGTTCCTGACATTTTAAATGACACCAGCTCTTAACTAAAATTGTCAAAAAAGAGGGACATAAATTCTATGTTATATATTTAAACACTGAATGAATCAAAGCTGTGATTTCTAAGATAAAGCATGGCATATGTTTTAAGGAATAATGTTCTGAGAAATGAAACTGTTTCTTAAAAGTTATTTTGTGCATGTTATAGCTCTGGGCTTAATGCGAGTTAGATTTTAGCCATTTAAATGAAACAGGTTGGTTGATACAATAGAGAAGAAAGGTCAACTCTGATTAAAGTCATTGTAAAATATAAAATCATGTATGTTAGCAGTAGTTCCTGGCTTTATAATATTATGAAATATAGTGGCTTTTATAAAGAAGAAAAACACATCTATGTGTTCAGTATTAGAAATGTTGAGTTGTCATATTTCCTTGCTAAAAATAAGGTATAAAGAGATCTTTTGTTTGCATACCATAAAACACAATCTGAGCTATTTTTCTTAAAGTGTCATTCAGTGATCATTGTACACATTTCTTCTTTCTCCAAATTAAAAGAATCACTTTTTTCTTAAGCAACAAATTTAATTCTTGGGTTATGTCTTAGTTAAATTATTTCCTAAAAGATAGACATAAACTTAAGAATAAAAAATATATTCATTCAAAATATATTAGGTAATATTATTGAAAAAATATTTTGACATTATTATTTTGCCATGTGAAAAATGGAATTCAGTTTTGTTGAATAAATATAATATTTTGTTAAAATAAGGTTTTTGAGTCAGAATATGTTTGATATACTTGGCTAGACCTATAATTCAATTATTGAAAAAAATATTTTGACATTATTATTTTGCCATGTGAAAAATGGAATTCAGTTTTGTTGAATAAATATAATATTTTGTTAAAATAAGGTTTTTGAGTCAGAATATGTTTGGTTGTGTGAGCTAGAGCTCCTAAATAAACTTCGCTCCAGTGTTGTCTATCCTGGAACCTGTCCTTTCAACAGGAGGAAATCCTGCTCTTAAGGAAATCATCTTGGGCAGCAAACAATCCACCTCTGCAAAGCTGTGCTGATCTCATTCAAAGGAACCTTGTGTCTCTGAGCCATTAGCATTTCCGGTGGAGAGCACGCATTGTGTGATTGTGTCTTGGCTGCTTGCAGTCTTTCATGGAAAGGAAGACTTTTTGGATCATCGTTTTAGTTCGGCAACCATTTTTTAGACATATATTAGACACTGGCAGATAGAGACAATTCATGCCCTGGAGAAACATAGAAACTAGGGACTTCATTAATAAATCTATATTGCCTTGGCATATGAAGACACACACTGCAGTATATATACAGATACTCCTCTATTTATGCTTGTTCTAAAATATGAAAATAAAAATGATTAGATAAAGCGTAAATGCACATATATTTTCATCTTTCTTAGCCTCACTCCTATGGGTTGCCATGTGCTGGTCTCTCCCTTTCCTAGTCTGCATCATTTCATTTTGGAGACCACTGTTAGAGAGGATAGAGAGAGGAGAGAGGAGAGAGGAGAGAGGAGAGACAGAGAGGAGAGAGAGAGGGGAGAGGAGAGAAGAGAAAGGAGAGAAGAGAGGGGAGAGAGAGAGAGAGAGAGAGAAGAGAGAGAGGGAGAGACATTCTGTAAACAGAGGTGAGGACTTCTGTAGAGCTGGGACCAGGCTTTCTCTGGGAACACAGGGGAGAGGCTGGCACTGGGAATCGGGTGAAGAAAGGCCTCCTGGAGAAGACAGCATCAGAAAAAGTGAGGCAAAGATAAGATGGTGACCTGGTGACCTGCAGGCAGGAGAAGAGTGTGGACAAGAACCTGGAGTCCCAGAGCGACATGGTCAGCACGAAGTGAGGCAAAGGGGCCAGGAGGAGATGAACAAGAAAGAAAGGGGCTGGAATAAGACAGCCTTGGATGTTCAGGCTCAAAACCATGGCCTGATGTGAGCAATCAATTTGTAGGGCTTCTCTAAAGCACTGACTGCTACATCAAGCTCATACAATAAGCAAACAAAGGATGTCGTGCTAGAGCAGCACCCCTGGGAAAATCCAGACCCCAAAACACCACACGGCAGAGCCTGAGACAGCGACCACACATTTAAAGGGCAGAACACGCTGCCACTCTTGAGGCATCCCGGTGATGTATCTTGAACTATTGCTGAAGGACTTTTGACTTGATATAATAGGAGGAATAGAATTAAACTGTTTTAGGATCATCATAAATTGTTATGTGAACAAAAAATATTTAGCTGGACACATCAGTGGCTCCTTTGTATGTTAAGAGTATGTGTCTCATTTAGCAAAGAGTCACAAATCACACCACCTGACACAGCATAGCGGGTAAGTCCCTCCCCACACACTGACTGTGATTTATTATTTAGAACACATGTTCAGAAACAGCCATGCCCACGTTTGTTAACTGTGCGTGCCAAATTGCAATTTGCCCTGCCCATTTGGAAAACACATTTCCCCTGCAAGCAACAATGTGAAGTTCATGACAAGGGTAGAAAAGCTCCTGAGGGTTTTGACTTCTGAGATATAGCAAGACCCAGGGTCAGGTGGACCAAGTGGCAACCCAGAAGCTTGGAGAAGATGCTCCTTGCTCTTATTATCATTTTACATTTTTAGCCCAGCTTTGGCTTCAACCCACTGTCTCCGTGGAATGAAGACTCAGGGAGGGGAAAGAGTGCAGAGAGCAGTGACAGCGACGTGCCTTAGCCCAGTCTGCACATGGTGTAGGCAGGCTTTAACCCTATAGTTTGACTTTGTTGGTTTTTTTTTCTGGTATCAGGAATTGAACTCACGACCTTACACTTGCCAAGCAGGCGCTGTGCCACTGAGCTAAATCCCCAGCCCCTTATAGTTTGATGTCTTAATTTTCCTACCTCTATTAATGCTCAGTATATAGGGAACACTAGTAATCATTCGCAAGGACTTTTAAGATGAAAAGAAATTCTTTAAAACCTAGGTTTTATCCTTTACAGCTCTTTGGTTCACCACAGATATTTATTTTCTACCTACAATGTACAAATTCAGGTGCCAAGTGAGTCTGTCTAATGTGGTCAAGTCAGTCTTCCTGCCCTTGAGGAGCTGACATCCAGAGAAGAGGGACATTAAATAATTAATTACATATTTAGCCATTCAAATAATTAAGGTAATTACTATAGGAGGAAAGCCAAGAGCACCATCAAATATATAAAGAAACAAACAGGAGGCTTAGGAGAACTCTGGCAGAAGTAGTATTGAGCTGAGGTCTGTAGATGCAGACTGACTAACAGGAAGGCGAGGAGGACTTGATTAACAAAAGTATCTCAAATATTAAAACACCTCATTGGCATCCGCTACGTGCGTTATAGTTTGCACTAAAGAAAAAAGTAATGTCCTTGAATGTTTATGACTAGTTTTAAATACACATATATGTACCTATACTAAAGGACTTTTAAAAAGAGGAATGATACCCGATCCTATAGTCACCTTTTGTGTCCCCAGACGGACAATTTTGTAACCCAGGCTGTGACATGGCTTCGAGGTAGTCAGAAGAAACAGGCTGTAACCCGCACGTTTCCTCGGGGCGAATCAACAAACCGCAATCCTGCATTAAGATAGTAGAAATCAGTTGTCATGGTAAATCGCAGCACACGGTAATAAAATCTAAAAACAGTAGGACTCGCTGGGTCAGACAATCTCCACGGAGGCGAGGCAGGCGGAGCTGAGGAGTCAGGAGGAGAAAAGGCGGCATCAACACAGCGCAGTGGCACGTTTCGCGGAGTAAGAGGATGGGTATGACTGTCGGGAGCACCGCACTTCAAGTCCAGCCAGGCCGCGAACTGGCCTGATCTAGTGTTCTCAACACACAGGCGATGATGGGTGGAGAGAGAAGAGGAGGAGGGATTACATTAAATGACCTCAGCGCCGCGGCTGTCTGCATGAGGTGCCTAGGTAATACCCACTCTCCCTCCGCCTATCCTCGCTTCCTTCCTCCTGTCTTCTCCTGCCTCCTTCTTCTCTTCCTGCCTTTTTCCCTTCCTTGCTTCCTTCCTTCGTCCCTCAACCCCTCTCTTTCCCCCTTCCTCCCTTCCTTCGTTCCTATATAAAGACCCATTTGTTGTTGTTGGAAATATCAATATACACAGCACTTAAAAAATTATTTCTCAGTCTCCCTTGTAGTTATACATGGTTATGGGACACAGTTCCAGGAACAAAAAAAGACAAAACAATAAAACCTAAGTGAATACTAGCTAAGTGAACATCAGTTATGGATTCCTGGAAACTTTTTATTTCCCTAACACCATTTTTTCTTTATCACTCCGTTTCTTCTGCTTAGAATACAAATGTGAGCCTGAGGGATGGGCAGCCCTTCTGTGACCATGAGGCAATGATGAGAAGACAGGACATAGATGATACTATGGATCTGCAGTGGCAACTCTGGGCTACCTACCTCTGCACTTGGCTATGAAAGCAATATAAACTCCTTACTTGGTCAAGCCACTAGGGAAATATAAAATACAGTCAAACATCTAGGAGTCAACCAAACTACATATGTGTAAAACTTTTTCAGAACGTGTAAAATTTTTTCAATATCTTCTTTAGATCTTCAAGGTGATTAACCCCAGTAGTTCAATTTTAAAGCCAATCTTGAAAGGAAAAACTCATTAACATTTCTCATTGCTTTCTTTGTTGGGATTAGAACTTTCTCATCCCTTTCCTGTTTGGTCAGGTTCAGGTACCTTCACAAACATGGAAGAGCTATTTTCATCTTAAGAGTCATCTTCTGCAGCCTCCGTATCTGCATACACAGAAAAGGTGGTCTTTAGCAGCACTGATTGAAATGGCAGAATTCCAGAAATCTCCACATTCAGAGTTGTGCTGGAGACTTTGTACAAAAGCTGCAAATTCCTGAGGTGCTTGCCGTAGTCTCAACAGAGCACAATAAGGTAACAAACAGGTATTGCCTTGTTCAAACTTGTACAGTGCATACATTTAGGAAATAACTTTTAAAATTTACTTAAATTTCTAAGAAGCACTGTAGTGCTTCCTAACAGAAGGCATTAAGATGCTCTTGACTGTGCCCTTACCTGACCCATAAATACATGACTATTGTTTTTGTTATCAGTTCTTCTGGAAGCCCAGTTCTCCTTATTGAACTATTTGGCCACAAAGGAATATGTAGTATTTCTCATTTTTAAATGTCATCTCCATATTTTTACAGCAATACAAAATTGCACTATTTAAATTGGTGTGTATCTTATAAAATCCTTACCTCCCTTTATTGGTCACATGTGTCATCATTTTCACATGAAAAAAATCTTCCCTCTCTTAAAATAATTTTAAATGCCTGCCTACATGTAGAAATATACATTCACGCACTGTGGCACCATGCTCCTCTCGGAGGGACATGGCTCCTCTCCTGCTCTTGAGCTCCTGTCATGAAGTAAGTCAGTAAGGACCTCTCAAATGGGAGGATGGGACCCAGACACTGTCCTCTAGAAAAGCAGGCCTTCTTCCAGGACAGGGCTTTCCTCTCCCTACTAGAGATGAGTCTCCTGAGGAGTTTGCTTCACAGGTAGGCCCAGGGTTCTTTAGGTCTTCCTGAACAGTTTCCCCAATGAGCTGTCGAGCGTGGTGCAAAGGCATCTGCAACACCTGGACCCCTGACACTCATGTGAAATCCAGTCACCAGCAGATTCTGCTCCTCCACGTATCCTTGGCAGCCTCAGGCCTGGACCAAAACGCAAAGCTGCCATCCAGCTCTCCTCTCCTCTAACCTGCCTGTGTCACATTCCTCCCCTTAGACACATCTTACCGTGACTTCACGGGTCCTCTGCCACTCTCCAAGCCTCCTGGTCTCCCGCTGCATAGTCAGGAGGTTTCTGTCTCCTATCACCCGCCTGCCTCTTTCAAACCTTTATTCCACTGTATGAGCTTTTGCTGTGACTCAGTTTCCCTGGCTTTTCCCTTGTGGCACTCTTCTACCAACATTTTAATTAGCATTCACATTTACCAACATGACACTTTGGTCATTAGCATTTTCTCTAGGTCACAGTTTGCCATTAAATGTCCATATGGCTCTATTCCATTTTACTCAACAGGATCTTTGGTAACACGATCTTTGAACAAATGCCGGAACTTTCCCATCAAACCAAAGCTGCTCCATTTTAATCTAATATCTTTGCTCCAAATAAAGTACATTGTTCTAACATTATTCTCACCTGTCCTTCAATCATGTAGGGTTTCCATTCCTGTGACCCTAACCCTTAATTTATATCCATGCTCTCCACTTGCATCCTGAAACAATCCATGCCCTCTTTTCTATTTTGTCAATGGAGCACAGCAACACTTTCACTGTGTAACTGCACAATTTGCCTTCATCGAAGGTCCCACATACCTTAGATGAAGATATCAGCAGAAGTCTAGACCATTCTCATGAGTCAAAGACACATTTTCACTGCCTCCAGGACACCTCCCTCAATGTCTCCTGAATATCTCAATAGAGTATGACTGGGGCATATATCATAGTTTGGGCCAGAATTCATTCTGATTTCCATTTTCCTTGTTTTCCTCTCCTAAAGTGAATATCAATAACAGACCTCTCATATTATATTATATATGTGTGATGTTATAATTATAGGTTATTATTTATCTTAGGGTCAAGAATGACTTCTGACACAAGTCTGGCTAGTGAGATGAAAATAGAAACTTCTTAGAACAGAGGTCTGATAGCTGAAACAGCAGTTATCTTCTGTTACGAGAGAAAGAACAAAAGAATTGGGATGACTTCAGTTCTGACATCCCTGATCTGTTCCTGGACATTTTGTTAAGAGGAGAATATCTCCTGCTTATTTTGCTTATTATTAGGTTTGCTGTTACTCACCAAACACTGTATGACTTTACAAAGTCTCCTTTCCAAATCTGTTCTCTAGCCTGCAGCCTCAGCTCTGGAGAAGTCAACAGGGATTCAGTTTCCAAGCCAGACACCTCAGTTATCCGAGTCGCCCTTCTTTCTTTCCCCCGCATCTAATCAATCACCAGATCTACACAGAGGCTTTATTCTCTTGAGTTCATTTGTTGCTACCTGGGTTTCACTTTGATCTGGTTGTTGTGTTCATTTACCATGGCACTGCTTTGACCTCTTAATGGATTTCTTCTGTCACCCACACATGCATTTTCTAGATTATCACTAACGTCATCTTTTAAAAATACACACCTTATTAACACTTTTGCTGCATAAAGTAATTCAAGAGACCACTCTGCATTCAGAATAAAATTTCATTGTTGCCTTTCTTTTTGGTTTATTTCCCCTCTGTCCTATGAACCTTCATTTCACATTCTGCATGACCTAAGTGCCTTCTAATTTGTCCAGTGTTACTTTCTAATGTCTCTGTATGTTCACACACACAGGTTATCTGCCTCACCTGTCACACTTATCACCTGCTTCACTCCTACTCATCCTTCAAAACCCTGCTTCTGCAGTCTTCCTTCTCTGGGAAGCTTACTCTGACATACTAGGGGTTGGGTACGTGTAGCACTGCTCCCTTGCTGTAGCCTTATTCACATTTTCTTTGCCACCTGCTCTCCTGCTGTGAGAGCTGGAAACAGAATAGATGTGCAATAAATGTTACCGCACATGAATGCTTGAAGGATCAAACTTGAAGAGGCACATCACAGGAGATACTATAAGCCAGTACATCTTTCAGGCAGTTCCTTAAAGACCCATGATATTATCACCTCCCACTCTTGAGAAGGAAAGCCATAAAGTAAGGTTAATTGAAACTACTTCATTCTAAATGTCTGCTCTGCAGCGCTCTCATTTGTTTTTGCAAGGACGTGGACTAAAAGATGACAAAAATTTCTAAAATGAAATAAAAATTAAGTATCGCTGAAGGATGAATATAAGATCTTATAACATTGTACTAGGGAATATTAACTCTATCATTAGAAAATGTTTCACTGGTTCCTGACATAAAATTAATTTGCATTTTTAATAAATTCATTGTAATTGAACGTCAAATTCCCCAAGTACTATGTTTAACATGTAAGTGCTAAAAAGTGAAAATCATAAAATCTTTGGGCTTTGAGATTTATAGTAGTTTTCTGATGAAAATCAGTCTGTAAGGCTGTATCTCCTTTGGACAAGAAGACTGACATTTTATGCCTATGGTAAGTAAAAGAATAACACATCATGAGCTGCATGTGACTCACACTCAAGAAGTTTATTCTAGAAGAAAGACTTATAACCAGACCTTTAACTTTGGAGACATTTAAACATGGCAACTTATATATATTTAGCACATATAGTTTTTGTTTTACATGAAACTATTCATTTTCTTATCCCTTTAAAATACCATAATCAAGAGTGGGAGAAGAAATACTAGCAAATAATAATTAATTTGACAAATTCAAAGTAAGCACATATTCTGCTCTAAGTATATTGTAAAACTACACTTTGTAAGTATTAGAATGAATAATAGTTGCTAGTTGGAGTTTTAACCCACTTTCAAATCTGAGAGAAACCTAGTAGAGACTTGTCAAGATTTTTGAGCACAAAACAGGAGTCTAAAGATAATTATAATGAAAATAGCTATACTTTTTAGC